CTGATCCACACCCACAACCCTCTAGCTCTTCTTTCTGGTGCTTTCCAGAAGGTATTCTAAAACATGTTGGGGGAAGGAGTGGGTGTGGCGCCCTCCTGAGAAGAGGGATTCGTGCAGATAGGTCTTGGTAAACACTGAAAAAAAAAATAAGACTTTTTTTTTTTTTTTTCTCGAGCCATTAAGTGCGTGTCCTAACTGTCCCTACCCCCCGCGTACTTCCGGTTAGGTCTCTAACCTGGCACAAAAGGCTAACTGAAGTGCCTATTTAACATATCAAAGCAGACCTGGCCTCGGCTCCAGGTTCTCCCCGCACCCTTCAGTCCCTGCTTGTTACAGAGTCTGACAGGGTGGCGTACACCAACCCTACCCTAAACTTCTCCAGCCCAGGGGCTGGGTTGAGCTTGCTCCAGTTGCCCTTCCCTATATAAGCCAGCTATTTTGGTTATCCGGCCCTTTACCCTCCTGGCATCTTGGTCTCTTGGCTCTCCCCTCCCCGCTCCCCTCACGTGGCCCAGCTCAGGGTCATGTTCACTCTGGACTCTCCCAGATGTCCCTGCGTCTGGCTGTGCTCTCCCTTTTATCTACAATAAACCTTGTCCGACACCATACCTTGGAGCGTCATGCCCTTCCTTTTGCCTTTTTTTTTCATTCACTTACAAACTTTTTGCAATATTTTCCAAGTCGCTTTTGTCTGGTACAGCTGCAACACAAAACAAAAAAGGGATTGTATGATCCTGGAATTTTTAAAAAATGATTTCTTTGTTTGGTTTTATGTGCATTGGTGATTTCCCGGTGTAAGGGCGTCAGACACCTGCAACTGGAGTTATTAGCAGTTGTGAGCTGCCATGTGGGTGCTGGTAGTTGAACTTGGGACCTCTGGAAGAGAAGCCAGTGCTCTGAACCACAGAGCCATCTCTCCAGCCCAATCTTGAAATATAGATATGTGTGTGTTTTATGTCTGTGATACCTTATTCAGTGGATTTCACCAGGGAGGGGCAGGATCAGACTTGGATGAGATGGGTTCCTCTGGAGCAAGGGTTTTCTTTTCTTTTCTTTTCTTTTTTTTTTTTTTTTTTTTTTTTTTTTTTTTTTTTTTTTTTTGAACCAGTTTCCTGGTATAGCTGTGGCTGTCCTGGAACTATCTCTGTACACCAGGCTGGCCTTGAACTCAGAGATCTGCCCACCTCTGCCTCCCAAGTACTCTCATTAAAAGCAAGTGCAACCATGCCCAGCTTGAACATTGTATTTTTAAATTTTAATTTGTATTTTATGTGCATTGGTGTGAAGGTGTCAGATCTCCTGGAACTGAAGTTACAGACAATTGTGAGCTCCCATGTGAGTGCTTGGGATTGAACCCGGGTCCTCTGGAAGAGCAGCCAGTGCTCCTAACCGCTGAGCCATCTCTCCAGCCTGAGCATTGTATTTTTAAGACTTATTTTTATTTGTGTGTGTGGCTTTGGAGGCCAGAGGACGTCAGTAGCTTTAACCTCTGAGCTATCTCTCATGAAATCATGTTCATGGTTTTCCCAGCCAATCTTCCTGGTTTTGTCCCTTTTTAAAGATTATGAAACGTCTATATATGTCTGTAGGCTGGAGACCAGAAAAGGGCATTGTGTCACCTTCCTCCACTGAGACAGGAAGCCAGCAAGCCTCAGTGATCCTCTCTGCGCCCCCCACCTCAGAGGCAGGGGTGTTGCATGAATCTGAGGGGATGCTTAGCCTGGTCCCTGGGTACTGGGATTCCAGGGGATGCTCAGCCTGGTCCCTGGGTACTGGGATTCCAGGGGATGCTCAGCCTGGTCCCTGGGTACTGGGATTCCAGGGGATGCTCAGCCTGGTCCCTGGGTACTGGGATTCAAAGCCTGATGCTGAAGCATGTGCTCTTTTAACCATCCTCTGAGCTCTGTCTCTCTCTTAGATTTAAAAACTAACTTGGAAATCTAACAGGCTGTGGTATATAGCTCAGTTGGTGAAGTGTTAGCCTAGCATGTGCCGAGCTCTGGATTCAGTCCTCAGAGCTGCATAAATGGGGTGTGGTGGCTCATACCAGTATTCCCAACGTTGGAGGTGTGAGGCAGGCCTTGAATTCAGCCTAGGTTACGAGAGACTCTCTTAAAAGGGAAAAAACCCTTGGCCACTGTTTTCTGATAAGGCCAAGGCTCTTAGTCTCAGCCCCCTTCCAAGATTCTGGGTCTCCAACCCTCTCTTGGAGCCCTCTCCCCCCACCTACCCACACCACCACCCCCCACACGCCCATGATAAATAAATCGTTGAGTCTTCCTGTTATCTTTATATTGAGAGTTTTAAAAAAAGAACATTATGGGTGGGGGGGGGTGGGAAGGGATGATTGACAGTAGGAGCTAGAGGAACCTAAAGCTCCAGAAAATTAACAAAAATAAAATATATATTTATACATTTATAATATATATATATATATACCAAGTAATGC